AACACTCCAACACTATCAGCCTCGCTAAACACTCCAACACTATCAGCCTCGCTAAACACTCCAACACTATCAGCCTCGCTAAACACTCCAACACTATCAGCCTCGCTAAACACTCCACACTATCAGCCTCGCTAAACCAACACTATCAGCCTCGCTAAACACTCCAACACTATCAGCCTCGCTAAACACTCCAACCTATCACACACCAACACTATCAGCCTCGCTAAACACTCCAACACTATCAGCCTCGCTAAACACACACACCAACACTATCAGCCTCGCTAAACACACCAACACTATCAGCCTCGCTAAACACTCCAACACACCAACACTATCAGCCTCGCTAAACACTCCAACACACCAACACTATCAGCCTCGCTAAACACTCCAACACACCAACACTATCAGCCTCGCTAAACACTCCAACACACCAACACTATCAGCCTCGCTAAACACACCAACACTATCAGCCTCGCTAAACACTCCAACACACCAACACTATCAGCCTCGCTAAACACTCCAACACACCAACACTATCAGCCTCGCTAAACACTCCAACACACCAACACTATCAGCCTCGCTAAACACTCCAACACACCAACACTATCAGCCTCGCTAAACACTCCAACACACCAACACTATCAGCCTCGCTAAACACTCCAACACACCAACACTATCAGCCTCGCTAAACACCCCAACACACAAACACTATCAGCCTCGCTAAACACCCCAACACACAAACACTATCAGCCTCGCTAAACACTCCAACACTATCAGCCTCGCTAAACACTCCAACACTATCAGCCTCGCTAAACACTCCAACACTATCAGCCTCGCTAAACACTCCAACACTATCAGCCTCGCTAAACACTCCAACACTATCAGCCTCGCTAAACACTCCAACACTATCAGCCTCGCTAAACACTCCAACACTATCAGCCTCACTAAACACTCCAACACTATCAGCCTCGCTAAACACTCCAACACTATCAGCCTCGCTAAACACTCCAACACTATCAGCCTCGCTAAACACTCCAACACTATCAGCCTCGCTAAACACTCCAACACTATCAGCCTCACTAAACACTCCAACACTATCAGCCTCGCTAAACACTCCAACACTATCAGCCTCACTAAACACTCCAACACTATCAGCCTCGCTAAACACTCCAACACTATCAGCCTCGCTAAACACTCCAACACTATCAGCCTCGCTAAACACCCCCACACACCAACACTATCAGCCTCGCTAAACACTCCAACACTATCAGCCTCGCTAAACACTCCAACACTATCAGCCTCGCTAAACACTCCAACACTATCAGCCTCACTAAACACTCCAACACTATCAGCCTCACTAAACACTCCAACACTATCAGCCTCGCTAAACACTCCAACACTATCAGCCTCGCTAAACACTCCAACACTATCAGCCTCGCTAAACACTCCAACACTATCAGCCTCGCTAAACACTCCAACACTATCAGCCTCGCTAAACACTCCAACACTATCAGCCTCACTAAACACTCCAACACTATCAGCCTCACTAAACACTCCAACACTATCAGCCTCACTAAACACTCCAACACTATCAGCCTCACTAAACACTCCAACACTATCAGCCTCGCTAAACACTCCAACACTATCAGCCTCGCTAAACACTCCAACACTATCAGCCTCACTAAACACTCCAAGACTATCAGCCTCACTAAACACTCCAACACTATCAGCCTCACTAAACACTCCAAGACTATCAGCCTCGCTAAACACTCCAACACTATCAGCCTCGCTAAACACACCAACACTATCAGCCTCACTAAACACTCCAAGACTATCAGCCTCGCTAAACACTCCAACACTATCAGCCTCGCTAAACACACCAACACTATCAGCCTCACTAAACACTCCAACACTATCAGCCTCGCTAAACACACCAACACTATCAGCCTCACTAAACACTCCAAGACTATCAGCCTCGCTAAACACTCCAACACTATCAGCCTCGCTAAACACACCAACACTATCAGCCTCGCTAAACACTCCAACACTATCAGCCTCGCTAAACACACCAACACTATCAGCCTCACTAAACACTCCAACACTATCAGCCTCGCTAAACACACCAACACTATCAGCCTCACTAAACACTCCAAGACTATCAGCCTCGCTAAACACTCCAAGACTATCAGCCTCGCTAAACACTCCAACACACTTCTGGTTTGTAAGTTATTTAATAAATTTAAAGTACAAGTGTCAAAAAGTATAGTATAATCGTATATATTATATACTATAGTATACTATAGTATACTATAGTATACTATAGTATACTATAGTATATAGTATAATCAGTGACACTGATGTACTTTGCGAATCAATGAAATATGATAAAACATTAAAATAATAAGCCTTTAACGGAATATTTTTATCTTTTACGTTTGTGCAAAAACACTTTACCATCATTGAACAAACAACTGAGAAAGTTGACGAGCTCAGCAGGTTTCCAAGCAGGTTGCCGAGAGTGAATCATTATCACTATTACATTCAGTATTCATCATTAATGGAAAAACTGTTCAGCAAATAAATTGCTATATTGGCTGAGGTAAACAAGACACAAAAATATTCATTGAAATTTATAAACATTAATGCCGCTTCCTATATCCGAGCTTTACATGAAATAATAAGGTTCAACCTGAACAATGAATGAAATACAATATTTTCTTTAAAACTTTAAATACACTTATTGGAAGAAGGATATTTGAAATATTGTAAACAACATCTCCACCAAGAGCTATACCTCACTAAGCTCCGTGCTTGCTAAGCTTGGCAGTCTCCGTGGTGTAGTGGTAAGACACTCGCCTGGCGTTCCGCGAGCGCTATGTCATGGGTTCGTATCCTGGCCGGGGAGGATTTACTGGGCGCAATTCCTTAACTGTAGCCTCTGTTTAACGCAACAGTAAAATGTGTACTTGGATGAAAAAACGATTCTTCGCGGCAGGGGATCGTATTCCAGGGACCATAGGATTAAGGACCTGCCCGAAACGCTACGCGTACTAGTGGCTGTACAAGAATGTAACAACTCTTGTATATATCTCAAGCTACAGTCGGGAAGGCATCATCTATTTCTAGGCAACAAAATAGAGCAGTAAATAAGTCTAACTAAGGATGTGTTACCCAGTTACGAGATTGCGCCCATCAACCGTGGAAGGGTTATTAAGGCTACAGCATTAGCTTACTGACCAATCAGCAACATTGTTCAATATAAGGGTAAACTAAGTGTGTAGCACCAAAAAGCAGGGTACACCTCTGTGGGAGCCATGGAAATAATGGTCATACGTTACTAAGAATTACAAAATGTTTGATAAAGGCATTTTCGTTTGGTGTTTGGCTGAAGGCAAATCAACCAGTTTGTCTTCCTAAGGTTTCCCAATGTCAAGAAAACAGTCAATTTTAAGTGGTCTCTCCTAAACTACCAGAGGACCCAAAACAGAAAACGGGACAGTGCGTCACTTTCGCAAGCCGCCTTCATTTTCTAATACGACAATTTTTAGCCTTGTGTAATGCATACGAGCGAAAAGCGACGGTCTTTGTAAGAGGCCAGGTTAAATCAACAACGGGAGAGATATTTAGGCTACCACAATAGCCTTTTGATGCACGGACAAGCTTATTCTAGTCCTGAACATAGTCTAGGACTAAAGTACACTCTCAGTGGACTAACAGATGTTGTCACAGCTCGTATAAGACTTGGCTACAAGTATCTCTGGCAGTTCGGCTTGTACAGGGATCTAGATGAAGTAAAGTGTAAAGTGTGTGGACATAGGCAGGGACACACACTAGAACACTATATCTTGGATTGTTGTAAAATTGAGCCTTTTAGAGATAAATCTAAGCTCACTCTGTATGATATGGCAACCATGATATGGCAACCATGATATGGCAACCAACCATCTTATTACCATGGATAAATTACCTGAAATCCTTGCACTGTACCCATATTTTGCTTCCAGTAGATGAACGACATATGAGATTCAGAAACAAGTAGTGTATTGTGAGGACTAATAATAAACAGAAGCTCCCCTATGACTCTGTAATATCCCCATTGGCCAAACTATTATGTATTAACGACAAGACCTACCATTAATGTATGATGACTTACTGTAAATATGTAGCTCTTGTAATAGCACTTTCTCTGTAACTAGCTGACATTGTATCTATAAGGTGTGAAGGATTGAAGAAATTGTTTATGTAATAATCTAAGATGAGGTCTGATAAAGACCTTTTGTGCCCTCTGTAATGCTTTTGCGCTACCGCTCACAGGATGAGTATGGGGTGCACAATAAACTACCGCTCACAGGATGAGTATGGGGTGCACAATAAACTACCGCTCACAGGATGAGTATGGGGTGCACAATAAACTAGTTTGGCGGCAACAATCAAAAAATAAATCTCAGTGGTTATACAGCTGGAAGCAGTTTGCACCTCCCTGTCAATATATCCCTTGTGAGGCATAACTACCGATCTATTGTAAATAGCACCAAACTTCACTCTTGCTGATTAATGTATGTGACTATATGTTAGATCAGTTGGCTTCAAGTTGGCTATATCATACATGAACTGAATGTTTTCATTATTATTATTATTATATAGTAGTCCGAGCTTTCAGGTTACATTTACTGAAAATACTGAACTATGTTGGTTTGTCACGAAGCTGTTGTGGTGGTCTTAATATTATTAATCCTCATGCGGTTGACAGGCCTTAAGCGAAACCATGAACCAACCATTAGACCTGGACTATGTTCAGGACTCGAGGATCATTGGTCTGTAAGCTCTAGTGGTGACCTTAAAATCCATACAGAAGTTGGTAGGCCTTTCGCTAGGCGTACATGTACCGAGTTAACTTTATTTCTGGACGGATTCATTAAGGTCCTGACGAATTCGTCTAACACACAGGCTGGAGAATGGGAGTGAGATCTTGGAGGGGACGGAGGATAAGGACTACTCACCACTTCAGAGTCTGAGGCCGCGGGCTCAGGCACCGTCGTCGTCCCCGGAGAGAAGTGGTATGCCAGGAGGCCTGTGGCCACCGTGGCGGTGACGAAGAGGAATCCCAACACTACTGCACCGCCTCGGCTAACGTGACAGCCATCCTTGCTGATGGAGACTGCGGGGGCAGCCGTGTCACTCCTCTCTGCTGGCTTCATCTAGTCAGATTCTTCGCCAGTTATGTAACCTCTGAAATGCATAACATACACGTAAGACGTTCTGATTGCCTGAACAAATAGTTATATTTAGGATTGTTACGGACCCGAGCCCAGCGTCCGAGCACGGAGCAGTGACGACAGCGCCATCTGTGGGTCAGCTCCCGAAACCCCCCTCCAAATGGACGACGCCACCCAGTGAGGACGAGGTATACTGGCCACACTAGGTGGCGTCGTGTTTGTGCTGTCGTTCATGTTTGTGCTGACATGAACTAATGTAATGCATTGTTTAATAATATACAAAATAAATCTACTCTATTCTGCCTTTTAGATTCGTACAATGGCATGTGAAGCATTAAGCTACAAATACACCGGCGGGCTCAATTGTGCAGATGTATTAATAATGTAAACTTTTATGTAAAGAATTTTAAAGAAAAGTATAGTTTATATTGTTAAAATATTTTTGGAGAAATTTAATAATTTGTAGTACTAGGTACTACGGCCCTTGTGGATTTGTTAATATTGGAATTGCTTTTCTGAAACTATTAATTCTGCGTGCATTAACTAGCGGGTGAGGCATGATAGTACAGTGAAGCAACAGTATATTGAAAGAGATCTACCAGTGGCAGTGTAAGGAATGTTCCACCAGTGGCAGTGTAAGGAATGTTCTACCAGTGGCAGTGTAAGGAATGTTCTACCAGTGGCAGTGTAAGGAATGTTCTACCAGTGGCAGTGTAAGGAATGTTCTACCAGAGGCAGTGTAAGGAGTGTTCTACCAGAGGCAGTGTAAGGAGTGTTCTACCAGAGGCAGTGTAAGGAATGTTCTACCAGTGGCAGTGTAAGCAATGTTCTACCAGTGGCAGTGTAAGGAGTGTTCTACCAGAGGCAGTGTAAGGAATGTTCTACCAGTGGCAGTGTAAGCAATGTTCTACCAGTGGCAGTGTAAGGAATGTTCTACCAGTGGCAGTGTAAGGAATGTTCTACCAGTGGCATTGTAAGCAATGTTCTACCAGTGGCAGTGTAAGCAATGTTCTACCAGTGGCATTGTAAGCAATGTTCTACCAGTGGCAGTGTAAGGAATGTTCTACCAGTGGCAGTGTAAGGAATGTTCTACCAGTGGCAGTGTAAGGAATGTTCTACCAGTGGCTGTGTAGGGAATGTTCTACCAGTGGCAGTGTAAGGAATGTTCTACCAGTGGCAGTGTAAGCAATGTTCTACCAGTGGCAGTGTAAGGAATGTTCCACCAGTGGCAGTGTTAGCAATGTTCTACCAGTGGCAGTGTAAGCAATGTTCTACCAGTGGCAGTGTAAGCAATGTTCTACCAGTGGCAGTGTAAGGAATGTTCCACCAGTGGCAGTGTAAGGAATGTTCTACCAGTGGCAGTGTAAGCAATGTTCTACCAGTGGCAGTGTAAGGAATGTTCTACCAGTGGCAGTGTAGGGAATGTTCTACCAGTGGCAGTGTAGGGAATGTTCTACCAGTGGCAGTGTAAGCAATGTTCTACCAGTGGCAGTGTAAGGAATGTTCTACCAGTGGCAGTGTAAGGAATGTTCTACCAGTGGCATTGTAAGCAATGTTCTACCAGTGGCAGTGTAAGCAATGTTCTACCAGTGGCATTGTAAGCAATGTTCTACCAGTGGCAGTGTAAGGAATGTTCTACCAGTGGCAGTGTAAGGAATGTTCTACCAGTGGCAGTGTAAGCAATGTTCTACCAGTGGCATTGTAAGCAATGTTCTACCAGTGGCAGTGTAAGGAATGTTCTACCAGTGGCAGTGTAAGGAATGTTCTACCAGTGGCAGTGTAAGGAATGTTCTACCAGTGGCTGTGTAGGGAATGTTCTACCAGTGGCAGTGTAAGGAATGTTCTACCAGTGGCAGTGTAAGGAATGTTCCACCAGTGGCAGTGTAAGGAATGTTCTACCAGTGGCAGTGTAAGCAATGTTCTACCAGTGGCAGTGTAAGGAATGTTCTACCAGTGGCAGTGTAAGGAATGTTCTACCAGTGGCAGTGTAGGGAATGTTCTACCAGTGGCAGTGTAAGCAATGTTCTACCAGTGGCAGTGTAAGGAATGTTCTACCAGTGGCAGTGTAAGGAATGTTCTACCAGTGGCATTGTAAGCAATGTTCTACCAGTGGCAGTGTAAGCAATGTTCTACCAGTGGCATTGTAAGCAATGTTCTACCAGTGGCAGTGTAAGGAATGTTCTACCAGTGGCAGTGTAAGGAATGTTCTACCAGTGGCAGTGTAAGGAATGTTCTACCAGTGGCTGTGTAGGGAATGTTCTACCAGTGGCAGTGTAAGGAATGTTCTACCAGTGGCAGTGTAAGCAATGTTCTACCAGTGGCAGTGTAAGGAATGTTCCACCAGTGGCAGTGTTAGCAATGTTCTACCAGTGGCAGTGTAAGCAATGTTCTACCAGTGGCAGTGTAAGCAATGTTCTACCAGTGGCAGTGTAAGGAATGTTCCACCAGTGGCAGTGTAAGGAATGTTCTACCAGTGGCAGTGTAAGCAATGTTCTACCAGTGGCAGTGTAAGGAATGTTCTACCAGTGGCAGTGTAAGGAATGTTCTACCAGTGGCAGTGTAGGGAATGTTCTACCAGTGGCAGTGTAAGGAATGTTCTACCAGTGGCAGTGTAAGGAATGTTCTACCAGTGGCTGTGTAGGGAATGTTCTACCAGTGGCAGTGTAAGGAATGTTCTACCAGTGGCAGTGTAGGGAATGTTCTACCAGTGGCAGTGTAGGGAATGTTCTACCAGTGGCAGTGTAAGGAATGTTCTACCAGTGGCAGTGTAGGGAATGTTCTACCAGTGGCAGTGTAAGCAATGTTCTACCAGTGGCAGTGTAAGCAATGTTCTACCAGTGGCAGTGTAAGTAATGTTCTACCAGTGGCAGTGTAAGGAATGTTCCACCAGTGGCAGTGTAAGCAATGTTCTACCAGTGGCAGTGTAAGGAATGTTCCACCAGTGGCAGTGTAGGGAATGTTCTACCAGTGGCAGTGTAAGGAATGTTCTACCAGTGGCAGTGTAGGGAATGTTCTACCAGTGGCAGTGTAAGGAATGTTCTACCAGTGGCAGTGTAAGGAATGTTCTACCAGTGGCTGTGTAGGGAATGTTCTACCAGTGGCAGTGTAAGGAATGTTCTACCAGTGGCAGTGTAAGGAATGTTCTACCAGTGGCTGTGTAGGGAATGTTCTACCAGTGGCAGTGTAAGGAATGTTCTACCAGTGGCAGTGTAAGGAATGTTCTACCAGTGGCAGTGTAGGGAATGTTCTACCAGTGGCAGTGTAAGGAATGTTCTACCAGTGGCAGTGTAGGGAATGTTCTACCAGTGGCAGTGTAAGCAATGTTCTACCAGTGGCAGTGTAAGCAATGTTCTACCAGTGGCAGTGTAAGCAATGTTCTACCAGTGGCAGTGTAAGGAATGTTCCACCAGTGGCAGTGTAAGGAATGTTCCACCAGTGGCAGTGTAAGGAATGTTCTACCAGTGGCAGTGTAAGGAATGCTCCACCAGTGGCAGTGTAAGGAATGTTCCACCAATGGCAGTGTAAGGAATGTTCCACCAGTGGCAGTGTAAGGAATGCTCCACCAGTGGCAGTGTAAGGAATGTTCTACCAGTGGCAGTGTAAGGAATGCTCCACCAGTGGCAGTGTAAGGAATGTTCTACCAGTGGCAGTGTAAGGAATGTTCTACCAGTGGCTGTGTAGGGAATGTTCTACCAGTGGCAGTGTAAGGAATGCTCCACCAGTGGCAGTGTAAGGAATGCTCCACCAGTGGCAGTGTAAGGAATGCTCCACCAGTGGCAGTGTAAGGAATGCTCCACCAGTGGCAGTGTATGGAATGTTCCACCAGAGGCAGTGTAAGGAATGTTCTACCAGTGGCAGTGTAAGGAATGCTCCACCAGTGGCAGTGTAAGGAATGCTCCACCAGTGGCAGTGTAAGGAATGCTCCACCAGTGGCAGTGTAAGGAATGTTCCACCAGAGGCAGTGTAAGGAATGTTCTACCAGTGGCAGTGTAAGGAATGTTCTACCAGTGGCAGTGTAAGGAATGCTCCACCAGTGGCAGTGTAAGGAATGTTCCACCAGTGGCAGTGTAAGGAATGTTCCACCAGAGGCAGTGTAAGCAATGTTCCATCAGTGGCAGTGTAAGGAATGCTCCACCAGTGGCAGTGTAAGGAATGTTCTACCAGTGGCAGTGTAAGGAATGCTGCATTCATAAATGTTCTGAAATATGGCTACATTCACAGAGTGGTGATCATAGTCTCTCAGTATCCAACACAAACACACACACACTCTCGCTTCGTACATGCCTTTCTGAATGTTTTTTTTATTTGAATGATAATATAGTTAATCAAATTAAATACAAAATATTAATACATAGAAATATACGATATATATTTTGTGAAGAAGAGCAACCAAGTTACCATAATTCATGAAACTCATCATGCAACCACCAGAGAGTCATGATACAATGGATAGTGAGGTGTTTCACCTTCACCTCAGCACGTTCACCTCAGCACGTTCACCTCAGCACGTTCACCTCAGCACATTCACCTCAGCACGTTCACCTCAGCACGTTCACCTCAGCACGTTCACCTCAGCACGTTCACCTCAGCACGTTCACCTCAGCACGTTCACCTCAGCACGTTCACCTCAGCACATTCACCTCAGCACGTTCACCTCAGCACGTTCACATCAGCACATTCACCTCAGCACATTCACCTCAGCACATTTACCTCAGCACATTCACCTCAGCACGTTCACCTCAGCACGTTCACCTCAGCACGTTCACCTCAGCACGTTCACCTCAGCACGTTCACCTCAGCACATTCACCTCAGCACGTTCACCTCAGCACGTTCACCTCAGCACGTTCACCTCAGCACGTTCAGCACTTTTACCTTATCCTCGGGTACATATCATGCAGTAAGACACTCTGTAATGTCACGTAATTCCTCAGCATAGCATAGGAAACTGCCTCTTCCTACTCACCTTCATATACATGATGATGATGATGAAGATTAAGCCACCCAAAAGGTGG